CATAACGAAGTCAGTGAAGTGATAAACTTGTATCTCACGGACCTTCTTTAAGATAAAAGCAGGGAGATCTTCGATTGTTTGCTGCTGTTGTTTTGCCAACGTTTTTCAGAGGACATCGAGTTAAACAGCAGATTAACCGAGATTTATGTGATCGCTGGAAATGACATTTCAGTTTCACATTATGCAAAGTTCACCGCTGCGGCGAGGGTCATATTTCTTGTAGTAGGGAGGTCTGCGTGGACAGGTGTTTCCATATTTTGTATTGCATCCTTCCACCTCCACAAGTGTTTGAGGACAGTTAGACGTTTCACAAATGAGAAAGCATTCTCTTTTCGGGCCGTTATATCAAACCAAGCCAGGCACAAGTCTCTGAGTTAATCTGATGGTTTTCTCAGACCACTGATTGTCAATAACTACTCTTTAATGACCCGATTATACCATCGCTCTTTGAGGATACTTCATGGACAACACTGCTGGACGATGTACGCGATGAGAGTCATGGCGTCTTAGGAGAGCAAATATTTTCTCAGCTTCCATTAGCAAAGCGAATATTGTTACATTCAGGAGAGTGATTTTCGTATTAGTTCTTACAATATGACCGTTTTACATGTCATCCAGGTCCCAGCCTAATGGTCTGTTTACTTCAGGCTCGTTCCATAAAAATCGAATAGCTGCCGAACTTTCACCTTGAAAAAAGTCTGTCGCATGACACATTTCCTTACCGAGTTTTATATAATAAACACGCTGCTGTATTTCGAGGACAATTACCAACGAATAAACAAAATACTCAACATGCAAAGCAATCATAAGGTTAAAATCATGCGCTGAAGGACAGCACACTGGCGCGCTTCATCTCCATAAAAGACATCCCAGTTTGGAAGACCGGTAAATCGACAACATAAACGCATTGTCAAAACGTTGTCGCTGATGAAAGAAGAGGAAAATCAGCTGTCTGTCAGTGTAGGAACCACAGACTATGAAAACGAAAGGTTAAACGAATATCTGAACTTGAAAACTGTAGCCACGCAATTAAGTTACATAGAATTAATTATTCCTAAAAAACAGGAAAAACAGATTCGCTTACCAAAGAGGTCAATATAAACCTCTTGTAAAGAGTGAACACTGCAAAACTGGTTCATTTCGTGATGCACCTTGTTGAAGATCAGCGGCTTGTCGTAGTCGACCGTGTAGTTCTTGACAATATCGTACACTAAACAGGATGGGACTAAAGGAAAAAGACAAAAAAACAGACAGCGCCAAAGACTGCTTACCACTCGACGACGTCAGAATGTTCACGACCTCTATGCGGTCGAAGTAAATGATGACGCCACCGCTACAACAAAAGACAATATCATCGATATCATGCCGTGAGTACACAATACACAATACAATAAATAAAAAGCACAAAAAACGTAGACTTCAGTGTTAAGAAAAAATTTAACAATTTAACAAACTGATTAATATAAGACATTTAGAATCTCATAACTAACAAAGCCGCTACAACTTTAACTGCAACAGAATTTGAGACAACCAACGTTTAAAACAAAATAATCATATAATAATTAAAAGGCAATACAGAAATATAAAGGCAATGCAGAGGTGATCATGACCAAATAAGTTAAATTACACGAACAGCTCAGATCCTCCAATCGCTCCTCAGATATCGATAATTCCAAGCACTTCTTCAGGGTATTGTTCAACACTATTACCTTGACTTAGAATTCACTAAATTCATAGAAACACATTTCCCATTCGATTGTAACCATCTGACAAAATCTTTTTACTGCCTACCTAAAGCACAAACTTAATGCTCAACTACCACAGTCTCTATTACAAACTGGTTCTTTTCACAGGACTAAAAATTTACCGTAAAAACATTTGGTCTTTTAACAAACAGAAACCCATCATACTCTCAAAACTGCTACCAGTTCTGGATGAATAACTGAAAAAACCAATGAAAGGTGGATAATGGTCAGCAGCACTGTTAAAAAATAGTCTACTAGTATCTTCATAGAGATTCTCGTTAAAATGATAAGTAAACTTCAAAAATAAGTCACTAACAGAATGTAGTCTCCGATATTATATAACTGTGCCATGAAATCAATAACAGTCTTTACAGCAGGAGGCGAACTGTTCAAATTTTATGGCGGATTTTTCACAAGAACCAGAGAAACGTCAATATACTCGTTTCCGCATCCTTGCAAAAATTTGGAATATCGAGTCATGGACAAGAACCCACACTGTTAAAATTTCTGAAGTTCATTCAATGGATATGTAGACGACATTCCGCCACTGTTTCAAAGCGAATGAAACAAAAATTCGTTGATCTTCTCAACTGACTTTTTGCGCAACAAGTCGAATAAAATATTAAAAACGAAAATATTCACCATCTTCATTTTTTGATGATTTGATAATTAACACGAATAACTGTGATAAAAGGAAATTTTATCATAAACCCGCCTAAACAAATAAATGAAAAAGTTTAACATCCATTCTTTTTCTGATCCCACTGCGTCGAAGAGGACGTCGGGTGCCGTACAAACAAATTACTTCGATCAGACAAAGACATGCTCAGTCTTCAATTCGTCGATATGATGTCATGTTCTATTGAGATCTTCCAATCGTGTATTCCTGCTGGCCGCTTGCCAATCAGGCTTTGCTTTCAGTATTTGCTTTGTAAAGCGGTTATCATCCATCCGTTAACAAATGGGCCCATCATCTTAAAAGCCTTGCTTGCAGCCAGTCGGCCACTTTAATTGCATCATTCATAACGATCATTCACTTGCAACAGCATATGATATTGGATCGTAGCACTTCGTTTCCAATACTGAACTTAAAATCATGTTCAGTCGCTATCTCTTTTCAGCTTTGTTATGAGTTGCCGTCTCAAACCTATGGTGCAAAAGGTTCAGAATAGAAGTCCTGCATATTCACAGCATTTTCCTATCGCCAACGCCCTTGTCGTTCCATAACCTAAAAAGTTTGTTGCTCGCTACTAATATTAAAGTACAGAACCTCTTAGCTTCGTCTGTCACTTATTCGTCTGCAGAAAATTTATTCCCAAACTAGACGATTCAGTACCCTTCCCAAAACTTCAGTGTATACAGTTAGGAAGTCACTTTTGGATTCGATCAAAACTTCTACTACCACTACAATTGAGTAATACATGAAAAACAAAAGCATTATAAAACAGCTTTTAAACTTTACAATAAAAATGTCAAAACAGAAACAAACAGAAAATTAATTAACCCTAACCAATAACAACAGCTGTCGCGATTCGTCAAAAACAGCATCAACCAAATAATAAACGTTGAACTATATTGCGGTAGAGTAAATTAATTTTAAACGTTATAGAAGTTATTAAACAAAAAATAATATTAGTGTTGTATATAAGAGTTCCAACGAATTTGACGCTTTACTGAGCAATTCCAAATAAAAAACTCTAGGCTAAGTTTGTAACATAATCGCGGAACGTGGTATGTAGATAAACAGGAGAGTATCATTCAAAGGAAGAAGACAACGTTACAAGCAGAAAAAGATGAATGATCGTCAGAAAAAAGGAGCGAGCATACAGAAACAAACAAAACATCTCATCACCATGACCAGACAAAAGTTCATCGTCGGAAGGAGGGCACAACTTCTTTTGGTCAGAGTGCGCGACATCGTAAGCAAAAAAAATGCCTGAACAGGAGCGACAAGCAGGTATTAGTCCATTAGATCTGTGATATTGCGAATCTTGAGATGAACAGTGCGAGGAATCGATGAACCTCGCAGCGCCTGTCGCCAAGAAATT